CCATTCTACTTGGCCGGTTTGCTTAATGTTTCTTTTTGATTTTTTAAAATTTCTAAAAAAAATGGCACTAATCATTTTTTTCCTGTCCTATATCCAATTTTTGTTAATCAGGGGCTACTTACAACAGGGACAATGTGGTTGGGATGAATCAACATCCTTTCAAGAAGAGTATTGCTTTTCTTCCAGTAATGAGGTAAATTTTTAAGATGATAATTTTCTCTATTAGCTAATCCTTTCAAGAACTATAGTGTTATGAATCTATAGTTAGTTAGTTAATCGCAAAACCTTGGTGCAACTATCAAATAATTGATGCTTCAAGCTGTGCTTTTTAGTTTTTATAGGGTTGGATCTTTAGCAAATAATTCATGCTTCAAGCTTATAAGCTGCGTTTTTTATGCGTTTGATCTCTAGCAAATTTTTGGTTGCATGTTACATAATAGGAGTTTTGTATGATTTGATTTTTAGAGGTTTACGGATCTAGCTCATGGGATGCTTCAACAAAGCTGGTGAAATTGAAGGTCACAGTAGATGAAAGGATAGTGAATTGTTTTTTGGTCAAANAAAACTGGTGAAATTGAAGGTCACAGTAGATGAAAGGATAGTGAATTGTTTTTTGGTCAAATAGGAAATATGCTTGATTACCTATTTGTTTGGGATGATCAGGAAAGTCACTAAACTTAAATTAGTTTTTTTACTTGATTAGTGCGATGAAATTTTGCCTATGTTAGTTTATTTGGAATTAGAAAATAAACTAAGGTTTGGTGAATTAGATAGATGAGTTTGTGGTTATTGGACCTAATTGTGAGTAAACAATGAAATAGAGCTTGGATAAATTTTGTGAGTGACATGCATGTGTTGCTGGATAAAAGTTGATTGCACATGTTCGTTAGAGGCTACTGATTATACTTATATGTGTCATTTCAAGAAGAGTACTACTTTTCCTTTCAAGAATGCAACATATTATATTTTTTCTAGCTCTTCCAAGTTTAGTATCTCTCTCTTGAATTTCTATAGCTTTTCTCTAGCTCTTTCTTCACAAAGATTTTGAGATATGCATGAATAATTCAGGTTCTCCCCCCACCCCACCCTACCCCACTCCACTCCACTCCACCCCCACTTTTTGTGCTTTTACACAGCTAAAATTATGTGATTCATTGTTTTTTTTTTTTATCATTTGTGTTCTTGAAGTAGTTGAATTCATAAATACAATTGAGATAGGGATGATTGATTGTTGAATTTGGTTAATTATTTTGATATAGATTTGTTGAAATTGTTGTTGAAAAATAATTATTAAAATTATTTGATGTAATTTTGGTGGATTATTTGTTGAACTGCATTTTGTATAGGACCATGACGATAGTTGTGATTAATCTAAATTGATTTGATGGTAAAAGATTACTCCCTAAATTTTTTATACCACTCATTTCTGTCATATTGTACCTCTACTGTCACCCTCTCCCATTTCTCCCCTTCGTCTTTTCTCCGGTCGACGACTTCAACTCTGGTGTGTTTTGACACTCCAACTTGATGAGTCATGTTGATCTTCCTTTTTCTCTCCCCTTATTTCTCTTCTCTGATCTCTCTCACACTCAAACTCTCTCATAGCACACACACATTCATAGCCTAAGTCTCTCATTTCTCTCTATTTTCTCATTGTCTTTGATTTCCTCTACAAGTCTCTCTCATGGCATACACACACTACACCAGTAACTAACACACTGGCAAACACTCACACACATACACACGTCTACACTAGCAACTCACACACGTGAACAAACATGCAAAAACTCACACACACATGCATCACACATAGTTGGATATTGAGGCAACACACACTCATACTTCACATATTCACAATCACACAATTTTTTGAATGTGTCATTATTTATTGATTCTTTCATACTCTCATTTGAGTTTTATATCAAAAAACCCAGCTTTGTTGATTTAGACTTCGTTGATCTGCTTTAAATATTTTTATTGTTCTTATAGGGTGCTTCAGGGGGTTTTGCTTTCGTTGATCTGTTTTAAATATTACTTTTTTTTGTTACATACTCATGATTAATTATTTTTGTCCTCAGGGAATAATTTTTTGTTTTATGTTAAAATTTAAAAGTGGCGGTACCACTTAATGGTTTTTGGGATTCGTAACAAACAAGGGATAATATTCATGGGGGACTTACCCATATCTCCCTCTCTTGGTAAAAAATTACCCCTTTGCCTGTGTGTGTTGATTGTTGGATATTGCTAGCATAACAATCAAGTTTGGTGATCAGTTTGCAATGGGTATGACCAATTTAGTATCAAAATTGTATTTCAACTTTATTTTTTGTCATCTTGAATTGGGTGGTGATTAGGGTCCAATGGTTTTTACTATGGTGTGGGGTTTGGTTTCTCTTTCTTCTCCCATCTAGATGACAACATGTTGTAGGGTTAAGTTTGTGTGATTTGGTTATTAGTGTCCTTCATTATGCCATTTGCGTTCCTAGTTGTTGTAGCATTTCATTGAAGCTTCCATTTGATACCTTTTTGTGTCTTCTTGAACTCAAAAATTACAGCTTCACGGTGTTTCCTTCAATTTATTTGGTAGCATAGAAAGAGAAAATTGATTAGTGAAGGTGGTGCAAGTAGCGATGAAGAATATGCTTACAATACTAAAATAAGCATATAAGTTGTGTTAACTTCTTTAACACGTATTTCTTAGGTACTTAAGACAAATCCGATGGAGATTTTCTCAGAATGTTAACCACTTTATTTAGGGTTGTTTAATTTTGATGGTAAACTTAGGATTTCATTAATCCTTTTGTAATGTTGAATCTTGATTTTTGTGAACCAATTCTTAGTTGTCAATACTTGATTTTTTATTGTTAGTTACCACATTGATTGTGAAATAATTGGGCTATTATGTTGATATTGAATCTTTTTATAATGTTGAATTTTGATTTTTGTGAACCAATTCTCAGTAGTCCATACTTACTTTTTAGTGTTAGATACCATGTTGTTTGTGAAATAATTGGGTTATTTTGTTGATATTTTCTTTAAGTAGTTTGTATTTTGTACTTTACGTATTTGTCGTTTCTATGGTTGGGAAAACTACTGCGGTGTCATGTTTTCTTTATTTTTTATTCAAGAAATTGGTATTATTAATGTTAACTGTTCAGCTGATGTAGATTATAGGGGTCGAAAGGCCTATGTGGCATGGGGAGAGAGGGTTGTGAAGTGATTGAAGTATTTTTTTTGGAAGTGTCATTGTAAATACGGAATACTTATGAATTAGGGTATTTTAGAATACGAAAGCATAATTGCATTATTTTTAGTGAAATATGAAATTCAATTGCCATAATAGTTTGTTTGGAATTCTAGATGCCATATTGGGCTATTACTTTTTTTTCTTTTACATGTTTGATGACTTTTACAAATATCTGAAATCAATTGAACCAATCATCTTAATATGTTTTAGTTTTGCTTTGATTTTTGGACTTTTATTGTAGCATTTTTTTTATAGGGAGTTGATACGAATGTTAATTAAATGCATGCATATAGAATTATGGGTTAGAATTTTTTATGTGCAGATTCATATGGTTAAAGGTGAACATTCTTCTATTATTGATATTATGTTGGTGAGGTGGTTGATAAATGGTTATGTTATGGTAGAATTGCGGTGATATTGATTTTGATAAATGGTTTGAGTCATGTTTTCTTGAAATTCATGTGTTAATAATAAGTTAGTATGTTTGTCGTAGAACACCTAATGAGTGAACAAATGCTTGCAATGTGAAATTTTGAAAGCCAACTGTACATTTCACTTGCTTACTGTGGTCTACGATCTACTGATAACCATGTCATATGGGGTCAATAGTTTATCTGTTTAATAATTAGCACTTTATAAAGGGTGGACTGTGTAATTAGTGTTTTATAGATTCTTTATGCTTGGAGCTATATTCTTAGGGTATTACTTAGGGTTTAGGGTTTAGGATTTGGGGTTTAGGGTTTGGGATTTTGGGTGTGGGGTTTAGGGTTTAGAGGAGGCACTGATTTCGTGCTAGAAAGAGACTCACTTCTCTCTAAACTTTTCATTTCTTCTTCATTTTTCTTCAAATTTCTATGAGATTTCTTCGATTTCATTGAGATTTCTTTCTTTAATCCTTGATTTCTTCTAGATATGAGTTCTAATCAATGTTTAATTCTGCCAAATCCTCATGATATAATTAGGAATTTCGCTTCCCTTTTTAAAAACCCTTTGAATTCTTCGAATGGTTTCGATAATGGCACTATTTCGAATTCTACTTTAGATCTTCCTGGCACTTCTATAGATTGTGGAAATGATTCACATATGCCCTCGATTTCATCGAATACAGTCAAACCAGCGAAGAGGGTTGTGTTTAATAATGGGGAACCTGGGATGTACTGGACACCTGATGAAACTCTGGAGCTATCGAATGGATTTAGCCAAACTTTTGATTAGGAAATGTGCCTATGGTAAGCCTTCGTTGGGGGTGATTAGGGAGTTCATTGCATCTCAATGGCTTCCTAAAGGGGACTTCATTTTGCTCTTTTTGAGGAATATGTTAAAACATGGTAGAAGGATGCTAAGTATATTGAAGGATTTCTCTTTCGATTTTTTAAATGATTTCCTGAGTTTCTTCTAGGTATTGAACCATCCATTGCTCCTATTTGGATTTTGCTTCCTGGGCTTCCTATTCATTTATTTAATAGGAAAATTTTATGAGACATCTTAAGTCCTATTAGAAGAATTTTGGCAATAGACAATTCAACATTATTGTTAACTAGGCCTAGGGTGTGCTCGTGTCTGTGTAGAGGTGAACTTGTTGGCTAATTATCCTAAAAGGTTTTGGTTGGATATGGGGGGTTCTAGTGGAAGGTGGTGACATATAGTTTATGAGAAGGACTGTAAGTTTTGTGTTGTATGTTTAAAACAGGGACATGATGATGTGCTTTGTCGCAAAAAGAAGAAGGAGAGGGAATGTGTTAGAGTGGGGAAAATGGAGGTTCCTTTGGCTGAGAAGATGAAAGACAAGGTAAAATACTTTTATCTGATGAGAGACATGAGGATATGGGAAAATTTATTAAGGGGAAGGATATTCTGAATAGGGGACAGTGGAAGTAAGATTACTATGGAATTCAGACGGAAGGATTTGTTGCAAACAAATAAGTTTGATGGTCTTAATAATATTATGGAAAATGAGGTTCATGTGTTTGATTCTGGGCAGGATAAGCTGGAAGGTGATGGTCAGAGTGTAGCTAAGGAATCTGAAATGAAACAGGAGATTAGATGTTCTGTGGTGAACCTGGATATGGAAAAAGAGGGCTTGATTGGAGAGAAGGGGGATGGTGTTATAGGTGGTGATGTGACTCCTCTAGTTCTTGTTGAGGGAGGGATTATATCTGGGAAAGCTTTTTTTGATTCTTCAACTGGTCAGGCCCAGAGGGATGCTGATTGTTTTGTATTGGGAAAGGATCAAGTTCAGAGGCCTTTAGAAGTGGAACATGTGTTGATTGATTCTCCAGTTACCCTACGTATCCAATTTGTTTCAAATTTCATTCATTTGAAGGATTTGGATTTAGAAAATTTGGGAGCTGATAATAGGAGGATGCCAAAGGATGTTTTGGTTAAGGGGATGTTTGAGAGGGTTTCTCAGGAAAAGGTTATGGAAAATTTGAAGCCTTGTATGCTCAATAGACAGTCTTTTCAATTTGAAAATTCCTTATTCTATTTGGAACATTTTTCCATATCTAAAAGTGGTGCTTCAGTTTCTTTGGATGATGATAGGGGGTTGGTGAGTAATAGGGAGCCCCTTGACAAGGGTTATTATTCTGATACAGGAAGTAGAAGTAAATATTTGATGGGAAAGGTTGTAGCAGATAGTGAGGGTTTAGAGGATTCAGATGCAGTATCTATGGAATTCTCTGGTGCTAAGGTAGAAAATAGATTGAGGATGAGAGATGAGGGTTCTCTTTGTCATGATTAGTCTTTTATTCTGGATAGAAATGGACATAAAAGTCCATAGAAGGAGAGGTAAAAATTATAAACGAACGTATGGGGTATGTATGTTTGCCAGATTGGAAATCAAATTTGGTTGTTCTTTAGATCAGATTTTTACTTGCAGTATAAATTTAAAGCAGAGTAAGGATACTGGGTTGAGTTTGTTTCTGGACGAGGGGTTTGATAATGAGCATTTTGATGCTATAGAGGGGAATGCTACAACTTCAAATGTGTAAACCCAAGCGCAGGTTGTGCGAAGTAATATAGATCCGAAAATCGAGGTCAAACCCTCAGGGAATTGTAAAAACATCAGAAACCACACTAAATTCTGTAAAAAAAATTTGTGAAGATGTTTTGTTTTAAAAGAGTATTTGAATTGGTAAAACTAATTAAAGTGATTAGAACATTATGAAAAATAATAGAGCATCAGGTACTCCCTCTCAAATCTATACAATACTGATAAAACACTTAGTTTTAAATCTTAGACAAGAATCAAGTGTCGATTGACTCAAGTCACCAAATTTAGCAATAAGAACGAGAAAACACCTAACTAAAAGTTTATCTAGGAAAATCAATGAACTAATTGTTGATCATAAGTATTGCTGTGTCCGGAGTCTACAATAAATCAAACTCTCCTAACAATCAAATTCATAACTTACCCAAGTAATCCTTTAGTTATATTATTGTGTGAAATAATTGTAATCAAATTAAGCGTGGAACAACCAATTATTTGACTCACAGGAAAATTCAAGCAATCAAAGTATAAGACATGATGACTCAAGAATTTTTACAGAGCAAAAACTTTATTATAAATCAAAAGTTGAATTAACAAAATATCACATACCATTAAGCTCATAAATCAATAACATTATTATACTTCATTGAGAGGTTCTCCCTTAGCCCTAGCTAAACTTCTTAGCCATACATGATGAAATTAAACTAGAAGAATAAAAATAAATTAAAATAAAATAAAAAACTACTGCCAAAATGTCCCCTTTACACAACCATCATCCCCTATTTATAGGATTATTTGGGAAAAGGTCTAATTGAATACAAATTTTGCTACTGGCGTTGGCAAACTATCGACATGCGTCCGAATGCATGTTTTCTTCCGTCCGGACACACTTTCCAATGGGTTTCAACTCTTCTACCTTCGTTTTCTGTCACTTTCGTCTGGATGCAAGGTATTCCACCATCCGGACACGTCTTCCAGTAAGTTTTTCTTCAGCTGTGCTTCCTTTTCACTTTATTTTTTTCCCCATTTTAAGCATTTTCCTACAAAAATAAACGCAATTCATCTTTTACTAACATAACATCAATTATTTAATAACTCATCACACTTACCAATTTTTTCCAAGCAAATAACTAATCTTTTCCAACAAATATTCACATTATTTAACTATAATCACACACCCCAACCCAGACCTTGTTAGTCCCTAGTAAGGTAAACAAAACAAAACAAAACCACTAATAAAAAAAAATAAAACCACTTTCATAGGATTCACGATTGCATTTAGTATATGCAACAGGACTTTAAACACCTAAGTTCCCTCTAGTGGACGAGTATAGCCTTGTGAGGGTTTCTAGAGATGATACCCACAAACATTATCCTGTGATCAAATATCTAAATAATAATTCTATAACACAATTTGCTACCACAATATAAAAATTCTAAGCTGTAAATTTTTTTTAATAAGCACATGCAAAACAAAATATAGAACTGTATGTTATATAAATGTATGCACTTATCATGTTCCCATATAAACTCGTGTGTAGTGTAAATTAACTATATCAAGTCAATAATTTATCCGACAATCACCTCTACAACTATCAACTATTCATCTCAATGCCAAATCTCACTAGATAATTCACTCATAAAAGATTCTCTTAAATTATAGTGACTATTCCCTCAAACATCACATGTGAGAAGAATATATTTAAGTCAAAATAAAATAATGCTCACATTGTCTATTAAAATGACCACCATATGAAAGAAAAGAATTTGATATAGTCTCATGACAGAAAATCAACATATGACAAACAAATAATCAATATTCTCTTCCTTATTCATACAATTTATGTATCTATCAATACACTTTTGAGATCAAATAGGTCTTTATCTAAGATTGTCATGGGATCTTGGGATTAAGGTTTTGAAATGAAGGATATTCAGGAATTCAAAAGACTATCCCAAGAGAACATGTATATTACACAACCAAACTTTTTCATAGCCTTTCACTTCACCCTTTAAAAGTACAATTTGCAGAACTTGGTCATATTTTTTTTCTAAACCATGCTTACTATTTTTCTCTCTTTTTTCAATTTGTTTTTTTATAGCTAGACATATTGTCTTTTTCTTTTTTTTANATGAAAAATACTAGAGCATCAGGTACTCCCTCTCAAATCTATACAATACTGATAAAACACTTAGTTTTAAATCTTAGACAAGAATCAAGTGTCGATTGACTCAAGTCACCAAATTTAGCAATAAGAACGAGAAAACACCTAACTAAAAGTTTATCTAGGAAAATCAATGAACTAATTGTTGATCATAAGTATTGCTGTGTCCGGAGTCTACAATAAATCAAACTCTCCTAACAATCAAATTCATAACTTACCCAAGTAATCCTTTAGTTATATTATTGTGTGAAATAATTGTAATCAAATTAAGCGTGGAACAACCAATTATTTGACTCACAGGAAAATTCAAGCAATCAAAGTATAAGACATGATGATGACTCAAGAATTTTTACAGAGCAAAAACTTTATTATAAATCAAAAGTTGAATTAACAAAATATCACATACCATTAAGCTCATAAATCAATAACATTATTATACTTCATTGAGAGGTTCTCCCTTAGCCCTAACTAAACTTCTTAGCCATACATGATGAAATTAAACTAGAAGAATAAAAATAAATTAAAATAAAATAAAAAACTACTGCCAAAATGTCCCCTTTACACAACCATCATCCCCTATTTATAGGATTATTTGGGAAAAGGTCTAATTGAATACAAATTTTGCTACTGGCGTTGGCAAACTATCGACATGCGTCCGAATGCATGTTTTCTTCCGTCCGGACACACTTTCCAATGGGTTTCAACTCTTCTACCTTCGTTTTCTGTCACTTTCGTCTGGATGCAAGGTATTCCACCATCCGGACACGTCTTCCAGTAAGTTTTTCTTCAGCTGTGCTTCCTTTTCACTTTATTTTTTTCCCCATTTTAAGCATTTTCCTACAAAAATAAACGCAATTCATCTTTTACTAACATAACATCAATTATTTAATAACTCATCACACTTACCAATTTTTTCCAAGCAAATAACTAATCTTTTCCAACAAATATTCACATTATTTAACTATAATCACACACCCCAACCCAGACCTTGTTAGTCCCTAGTAAGGTAAACAAAACAAAACAAAACCACTAATAAAAAAAAATAAAACCACTTTCATAGGATTCACGATTGCATTTAGTATATGCAACAGGACTTTAAACACCTAAGTTCCCTCTAGTGGACGAGTATAGCCTTGTGAGGGTTTCTAGAGATGATACCCACAAACATTATCCTGTGATCAAATATCTAAATAATAATTCTATAACACAATTTGCTACCACAATATAAAAATTCTAAGCTGTAAATTTTTTTTAATAAGCACATGCAAAACAAAATATAGAACTGTATGTTATATAAATGTATGCACTTATCATGTTCCCATATAAACTCGTGTGTAGTGTAAATTAACTATATCAAGTCAATAATTTATCCGACAATCACCTCTACAACTATCAACTATTCATCTCAATGCCAAATCTCACTAGATAATTCACTCATAAAAGATTCTCTTAAATTATAGTGACTATTCCCTCAAACATCACATGTGAGAAGAATATATTTAAGTCAAAATAAAATAATGCTCACATTGTCTATTAAAATGACCACCATATGAAAGAAAAGAATTTGATATAGTCTCATGACAGAAAATCAACATATGACAAACAAATAATCAATATTCTCTTCCTTATTCATACAATTTATGTATCTATCAATACACTTTTGAGATCAAATAGGTCTTTATCTAAGATTGTCATGGGATCTTGGGATTAAGGTTTTGAAATGAAGGATATTCAGGAATTCAAAAGACTATCCCAAGAGAACATGTATATTACACAACCAAACTTTTTCATAGCCTTTCACTTCACCCTTTAAAAGTACAATTTGCAGAACTTGGTCATATTTTTTTTCTAAACCATGCTTACTATTTTTCTCTCTTTTTTCAATTTGTTTTTTTATAGCTAGACATATTGTCTTTTTCTTTTTTTTTTAGCAAGACATCTAAATGTATATACCTTTTTTTCAGCAAAACATCTAATGCAGATATTCACAAGTATGTAATTTTTTTTTTTTTTTTTCATCTTTTCTTAACCAACATATCTCAAATTTACATAAACAATAAAAAGCTCAATCTTGAGATAACCAAGGATAAAAGATATTATTTTTTTTCATTGGCTTGATTATTACATGTTGGGTATAACAATAAAATTTCATTTCAAAGACTCAATCACGGCTTTTACGAATAATAATATTTAAAGAATAAGGCTTAGGCTCAAATAATGTCAAAGATGACCTAAAATCATATCTCAATAGCTTTTGATAACACACTTTCCATGCAAATAATTTAAACTCAAATAATCATTCATAATATTGGTATTGACCAAAACATAAATAATGAGACTATTGAAGGAGATCAGCTGAATAAAAATATTTTTTATTGAGTAAATGTACGTAACTGTCCAAGAAAGATTGACTCAAAATTCACCAAGATTTTTATGCATCTCCACTATATGTTTCAAGTTCTCAAGGTAAAATACCTAACAAATTTTCAACTTGGTAAAGTCTAAAGTGCACAAATTGTGAGTTTTTATAAGAACATGATATGAGATACAGAAATATAGAATAACCATTAAGTAATAAACCATTCA